CATCAGGATCCAACAGTCAGAACATAAGGTCCAGGCTGTCCCCACCCAGCCCCTTGTATCTTCCTGTGCCTTGGATAGGTCCACGGGGCTGCCCCACAGATCTCCCGAGTTCAGTGTGTCTAAACTCAGCTCCTCATTTAGAGGTATCTCACTCCAGGCAGGCAGTGAGAGCAGCCTCAGCCAGACTGCCTTGGTTCAAATTCCAGCCACACCACTTCTGAGCTGTGTGACCTCAGACAAGTTACTGTACCTCTCTGTCAGTTACCTCATCTGGAAAATGAAGATGATAATGGTACTCTCATGAGACTGTTGAGAGGATGAGACTGAGTTGGCGGACACACAGTAAGAGCTGGAAGAGTATGAGCTTTTGTTATTATCCCCCATTTAAATGTTGTTCTCCATCTGTTTGTTTGCTGCCTGTTGGATTCAGTAGGGTGACATTAGAAATAGGTAACAATACCTAATCAGTGGCTCAAACCAGAAAGCAGATTTTCATGATCCACATTCGCTCACTGTCCATCCTGTTCACGTTTAATCTCTCACCGAAGCCCAATGTAGTAAACTTTCAACCTGCTACCCTGCTCTCCAGACCTATGACCACCTGCTCTTTAGATCACTGCTAACGCAGGCCCAGATCACCGTGCCATCCAGGCTCTAACCAGAGTAATAGTTATAAAATGAAATGGTCATTTCTCTTCTCTTCCACAGTCCCCACGATTCTGAAAATAAACCCCCTGACACGGTCTCTAAAATGAAGACCCTTCATGACATGATGGGATTCCTGCTATCACCTGCACTTCAAACTCCTGATGCCCAAAACTAAACTCCCCAATTCCCCAAACTCACTGGCTTCCTGGATTTCCCTCCCTGGTGAATGGTGCCACCTACTGGCCACTCGTTCACTCAGGCCAGACATCTCTGACCAGCATGCCCAGCCAAGTCCCGCTAATCTTAGAAGCTGTGGCCCCTTAGGTGTCTTTACCCCCTTCAGCCACTGTTCCAGTTCTGGCCTTCACTTACATTAATTCAAATGTCTTCAAACTGACCTTTCTTACATTCCCCTTCTTCCTCATCTACTTTCTAAGAGGCTGCCAGAGTGCTAGAAATGGTCCATCGGTGTATCACTATTTTGCTTATGGATGAAACGCAAGCTATTTAACACGACTCTCTCCTTGAGTTGGCTTGGGCTCTCTCCAGTCTCATCCTTGTCCTTTCCCACTTCCCAGGTCAATGTCTGACTTTCAAGTTTAGACAGAACCTCCTCAGGAAGCCTTGTCTGAGACATCCCCCTGCACCTCCAGACCGGGCTAGGCAACCCTTCTGGGTGCCCGTAGGGCATCTGGTGCCTCTACTTATACACAGCACTGGGCAAGCAGCAGGTATTCACTAGAGTCTGTGGAAAGAAGAGTAGGAACTGAGGACAAGCAAGGCAACCCGACACCCTGTAGTCCCACGGCAGAGACCAGGACGCAGCTCTCTTCCCTCTCCCAGACTTCCAAAAGGACACCACGTATTTACTCCCCACTACCACACTGCTTTGATAACAGAAGTATTCATAACAGGATAAGGGTGGGGGATTAAAAATATTTAAATAGTTTCTGGCACATAGTGAACGTTCAATGCTTTCACTTGACAAGTAATTACTGAATGCCAACTCTGTGCCAGGCAAGAATTTGGGCCCTGGGGATAGACTGTATTTTCATCAACTCTAAGACACCACTGTTTTAAAGACTCCCCATTTATTGTAGGTATAATCAAGGGAAAAAACACATGCTACCAGGACACAGCTGTCAATTATAAGACACATCCATTTTTTCCAGAGTGCTAAACTGTGGGAAATATCATCTAGGAGTCAATGAGAAAAGTAGTGATAAACAAAAGAAACAAAGTCTCTGTTCTCACTTCTATTCTAGTGAGGGGAGTGGTAACGAATATATATGATCAGGTAGTGGTAAGTGCTATAATGAAAAATAAAGCCAGTTCAAGGGATACAGATGAAGGGGGCTTCTGGGGTAGCCAGGAAAGGCCCTGATGGGGAACTGATATGAGCAGAGACTTCAATGAAGAGGAGAGTGTGGGCAAACAACGTTCCAAGCAGAGGGAACATCAAATACAAAAGGCCTGAGGGAAATGGGCCTGGTAAGTTCAGGAACAGGCAAGTCAAGTGCAGCTGGAACAGAGTGCCACACACTCAGCAGCACATTTTCTCAAGCCCAGTGTATTTCCAGTGAAAGCAAGGATGCCTGATCTAGTTAGGGTGTGTTAAGGGGAAGATGGGTAAAGGCTAAGAAAAGTGGCCTAACTCAGTGACCAGCAAGGTGAGTGTAGAGTCAGACGGCCTAGATTTGAATCCCAATTCTGGCACTTACAAGCTGTGTAACCTTGGATAAGTTATCTAACTGCTCTGATCCTTACTCAGCTGTAAAATGGACAAAATAAAAGCAACTGCTTTGCAAGTTGGCTATGAAGATTAAATGAGACAATCCTTGTTGATCATTATCATCACCATCTTCTACTCCAAAGTCATTTTCAAAATTGTATCAAGGTAAGGAATAATGTTTTTGAGGCTTAAAATCCTTAAGACGACTATTCCAGATTACCAGCTGGTAGGATGGCAGCCACATGGTTGGGAAAATAAATTTTTTTGAAGGTTTTGAACTTGCCTTCTTCAAAGTTATTTTTTTTAAATCAAAGTTATCTTCCTTTGTATATTGATTGTTTCTGCAGTATAATTTGATGAAATGAAGTGTCCTGTATTCAATCAGTTATAAGATACATGGAATAGGAAGTACTGCCAAAGGAAATTTTACAGCTACCATAGTTTTCTGATGAAATGACATTACTACGTGCATTAAGTTAATACCTAGCCAATTTCCTAAATACAGAAAGTCTGCACATAAGTTCGGGGCTTTTTCCATGACTGGGAAGACCCTGTGTTGCTATTACAGGAGGCATATCTGGCTTTTTGTTCCCTCAGATCACATGTTTTAAGTAGCTTCTCTATCTCATTCTGTCATGAGGTACCACACAGTGAGCCAGGCCTGTCTGTGATGACTTGAAATTTCAGGCCACAGCAGGTGGTGTGAGTTAACGGACTTCGGAGGTATTCCCCAGAGGTTCTCGCCTTCCAAATATTCCCTGAGTAATGAGCCAGTCTCAGAAAGCATCTGACTTTATGATGGAGATATGCTTACATGAAGCACTTAAAAATTTTTTGGTTGTTAGTATTTAATGCCATAATGGAAGGAAGTAAGGTAGAATGAAGAATTCACCAGAACTGTATTTAGTACCTACTAGCCTCCAGGAATTGTTAGGCTTTGGGGATTCGTTACCAATCTAGATACAGTCCTTCCCCTTAACTATGTGAGAATTTTATCTGAAGCAGTATTTTCAAATGACAGCTTAATAACACATATTTAAGTCTTGACGCAACTCACTTTGGAACTCCTGAGAAAAAAATGCACCATATTTTCCTCTTTTTTATTCTTTTCTAAGAGATGTTGAGAAATGGGCAGCAGTAGATGGACAGGCTTTTGAGACAGATTAAATCCTGACTCAGTCACTTACTAGCACTGGGTGACAGGACAAGGGGAGCTAGAACAAGGGATCTAACATCTGAGTTCCAGGCATCCTCATCTGTAAACTGTACAAAGTCACAAGAATATTACATGAGAGAACACGCACATTGCTGCCATTATTATTAGCATTATTAGGTTTGATGTTGGAACTTCATAATTAACAGATTTTTTTCATCCCCTGTCAGTTAATGAACCTTTGGCAGGAACAAGGAGAACTTAAAATGTTTTACCCAGGGCCCACTACATGCTTTATGCTTAACATCCTTATACAATGACATGTCGATTCCACTCCCAGACATGGGTCAGGAATTCCAAGGTCTGGCTGTAGTTAAGCTGGACAGACTAAACTATTTCCAGCAGCCTATCTAGTTGGGTGACTATACCTGAGTATCAGGGGGTGGGGATGGGAGGGCCCAGTTTTGGCTTAGGTAACAACCCTCACCCTAGTGTTGGGCCAGAACCAACTCTAGCCAACTCTTCTTTCAATTAAGGAAAGCTATCTTTTCCACAAAGCTCGGAGAAGCACAGCTACTTCAGCAGAATCATTCCCAGTGACGGGGAGGGGCGGGGGGGGGGGAGTTTGCAACTGCTGCACACATCACCCCTTCTCTGCCTTTCATCTGAGCAACTGTCAGAGTCCTACTAATGGAAAGATCCCTTAAAATCACCTAGTTAGGTGAACTGCCCCATAAGCCTTTTTGCAAAATTTAGTGCGTACGTGCATTTCTCCGTGGAGTTCTCACTAGATTTTCCAAGGAGTCCGTGCCTGAAAAAAAAAAAAAAAACGAGATTCGCTGATACAGTCCACTTCCTCACTGAACAGCTGGAGAAACTGTGGCCCGGACAGGTAAAAACAGCCGTCTCAAGTCAGACAGAGGCATTACAGCCATTCCAATTCTGGCCTCATTCATGGCCCTGGCCGTGATTGATAACCTCCCCCGCGTCTCTGCAGGCCAGGAAACGAGGGCTTGCGTCCGAGCTCTGGAGATGGTGCAGGCCGTCCGGTTCCTTCGCACCAAGGAGACTCGGGCCAAGAGCTCAGCGGGGCTCCGGTGCCGCGAAGATTCCCCCACCCCGGCCTCGGCCCCCGGAATTTCCGTTGCCATGGTGACTCCAGGGCGAGCACCAGGCCCAGGGAGGCCTTGGGAAGTGAGGCGGCGGGGCGACTGCGAAGAACAGCCCCTACTCACTCACCTGACAGAGAGGAAGCGGACACGCCCCAAACGCAGGTCCCGAGCGAACCCACGGAGGACCGAGGACTAAGCGAGGAGAATAACAGGAAATGACGTAGACGCACGTGCTTCCGAGAGGGGCGGGTACAGGGCTTTCGAGAGGCAAGGCCGGTGCCCCGCGCCTGCGCAGCCACCGCCTGCCGCGCTGCCGAGTCACTGGGATGGGAGGAGCATGAGCAGGGGGCGGGGCGCGTGGCTGAGTGACGCAGGCGCAGTGCGACTTCGGAGGCGCGGGCTGGCCCCTCCGCGGGTTTGGATCCGGGTCAGTCAGGCGCTGCGATCCGGGAGAGACGATCTGAACTGACGGGACTGGATTCCCGGAGCGCCCCAGCTGCGAGGAGGTGAGTGCCTTGACGTGACGGGGATAGGCCGTGGCATCGCGTTTCGACCTGCCGGCCCGGCCTGGCCTCGGGCGGCTTCTCCCGGGCTCGCCCGCCTCTCGTCGCGTCGTCCCCCGGCGCTGACTGCCTGGGCCGGGCCGGGCCTGGGCCTCTCCGCGCCCCCTCGGCAGCCGCGGCCTGGGTCGGCCCAGGCTCTGCTCTCTTTTCCGTTCCCGCGCCCCCGCGGTCCCCGCCGCGTCCCGCCCCTCCGCCCGCTCCTGCCCGGCTGTTGCTTCCCCTTTTCGCCTTCCTTGGCCGCCCTTTGCCCCTTCCCGCCCTTTCCCTCTTGTTTCCGAGCCCCAGCCTCGTTGGCTGCCTCTTCGGCTCCGCTCCCGCCTTCTCCTGCATCGGCACAACTCCAGCCTCTCATTCTGGCCGGGGGAGCATCCAGCAGAGGCACCTTCCAGCTGGAGACCCTGGACGGGCAGAGCTGGGGCCTTAGACAGCTCTCCACTCCCTGAGTAAACCCCCCCGCCCCCCGATTCTGACCTTTTCTCGTTTAATCGCGACCGATCCAGATTCGGGGGGTGGGGATAGAATTAACGCGGTGCTTTAGCTCTACGTCGAGCGTGTAGGGAGTGAGAAAGTGTGTAGAGAGAGATGTGAATGTGTTTTGGTCTGGGGGCCGATAGTTTCAACCTAGACTTGTTTGTGTCTTAGGGGGTTGCAGGACAGGACTTTCTTTCCCGCACTCCGCGCTTCCTGGGAGGCTGGGAAAGTTTCTAAATAACATTGTGATGACACGCTTACGCGGGGATCCTTTATTGATCGATCTCAGGTCTTTTCAGGGTCCTGGAAATTTGGATCTAGGCTTGAGGTTAAAAGAGGTCATGGTTAAAACTACAAGATATAAATAAGATTGTGACACATGCTATTCGTTGAAACTCAGAGAAAACCAGGAATTTGCCCTTTTGATGGAGGAACTTAGTAGAATTTTACTTGTCATTTTTGAAAAGTTGGGAAAATCCGAGGCAAAGATAAATTGCCCCTTGTGATTTAACTTAGAACAATACAAAGTAACTTCTAATAGGCTTTTAAACTTTCATCTCTTTGGGAATTGTTCCATTTTCAAGAAGTCAGTGCAGTGAAAATGGAAAGAAATGTCTCCACAAATTTAATATTAATGAAAAAGGGCAAACCAATTATATGTTTCCCAGAGTTAGTTGTACAGCTCTTGATCTGAGTGAATGGGAAGCCAGGAATACAGAGGGGCATATTAAGTCTGTTGTAATTACTTACAAAAATGCTCTGATTTAGCTCTTAAGGTCATGTCTAAGACTCGCCTTTTCCCTGGGTTAATATAACAGAGGGAAGATGTGCATAATCAGAATATTGGAAGTCTGAAAATAGTTTAGACAGAACTTCATTCCTAAAGTTTTAGTCTATAGCCAGTTTTTATTTTGGTCTATTTTGGTTTTCAAATAATAGATCTTTTGGTGTGTCAACAAGAATGTTAACTAAGTTTGTATAAACATCTAGAGGTCACCTGCAGTGCAATTAAGTTAGGACTATATAATTAAAAATTACATATCTGGGTGCAAAGCTTCTTAGCACAGTGTTAGGGCAGGAATGAGACTCCAGGTCTTACAGGAATAGGGTTCACAGCCCTAGTATGTGTCAGGTTTATCCTTCTATCCCTAACATCCAGTCTAGTGCTAAAGCACATGGTAGGAATTCTGTAAATATTTGTGGATGGAGTGAATTTCTGTCTATAGAATTCAGCACTGTATATTTAGATGTGATGTGTACTGATTTCCAGAGAGTCCTGGAAAAGGGTTTGTGTAGGGTCTTCAGGGATGGGGAGACTGTCTTCAGATTGTTTAACTCTGTAAGGGCAAATAGTCTGAGCATTTGACTGACTGGTCATAAAGTAATTGAGGAAAACTATAAGCCAAACTTTAGTTCTGCCAGCAGGAAGAATTTGTTTATAATTTACAGTAGCACTCTTTAGGTGCTGTGGAGCTTCAAAAATATTAGGATATGTGATCTTTGCTCACCTCTCCCCCCAGATATATAGGACATTAATGTGTATCTGGGGGAGGATCCCCCTCTAAATCCAAAAGCATTAGAAACCAGCAAAATATGGAATTAATAATGTTTCCTCAAGTTCATGTACTGGTTAAATAAACCAGCAAGATATATGTGGGGAGTGTGATCAGATTTTTTGATTTAAGAAGTTGCAGTAAAAGCTAGCTAAATTCTTTGGAGACTGTTTTCAGTGTTTGCCAGAGAGATCTGCCTAAAATACCTTCTTCTTCATGTAAGTAAATAAATAAATCAAACAAATAGTGTTAATTCCTTGCTTCCTTATTCTGCCACTGGTACTATATGATTACATTATATCAAACATATTATGACACTGTGACCTTTGGAATATTAGAGGTCTCACAATAACCTCAAACTCACCCCTGAAAAATGAGCAGATAAGGAATCAGAGAAGTTAGAAGGGTCCACAGAGAGGCACTGCTCCTTCTGAGAGTGCCTGGCGGGGCGGGGGGAAGGGGGTTAGATGGGGTTAGCAAGTTAGAAATAAGGAAAAGGTAAAGTTAATCCTTTGCTTCCCAAATCCGCCATCTTCTATTTTTTGTTTTACCTTTTTTCTTTCTGAGTCCCTCTGATATGTTCATAGATACTGACTTATTTTTTGTTCAGATTTGATGTTAACTAATTTATTACCTTAGTGAAAACAATCAGGAAACTAGATTTCAAAGGATTTATTGACAGACTTCTCTGCTTCTCTGTTGTGTCTCTTACTGCTTTAATTGGCCCCTGTTTCCCTTTTCTTTGTTTAAATATAAAAACCAAGGTGGAAGAATGGAGAAGTTTCATTAATCAAACTGGTTAAGTGGAGATCATTTAAAGGTGCATCTACAGAAAAATAATTTTTATATATATTTACTTTCCACCTTTTTCTTTTGGGAAGGTTTGTTCTATTTATCTTTTCAAGTTGCATGCATAGTTCATTTATTTTCTATCTTGTATAATAATTAAAAGCTAAAAAAATGAAGGTATCAACCTTATTGGTAAGAGTGTGGAATAATCAGTAATCATTGAAACATATTTGTAATCCTGCTTTAACAATGGTAACATCTTGATATCTGAGTATGAATATTTATGTGAATATTGATATCTGGGTCAGGATTGCTTTAGAGAAATGCTGTCATGTGTCATGAAGTTATACTTAACGGGAAATGTTAGGGTTGGACTACACAAATACTCAGTATCATTTTAAAGGATCAGAGTGTTGTAGGTTGATCTTTTTCCTTTTATTTTTGGTACAAAGGTCATTTTGTCTGTAGGTTTCTAGACCTCTACAAGTGGACAAATTTTTACCCTGTTAAAAGGTATACTTAAACATAGATTTCAGGTGATCTAGTTTCCAAAGCTGTGTAACAGGATATTGGCATCAAGTATTTGGACAGTTTAAATTCTATCATAATAATTAAGATACAGAATTGTTGAATCACTATGTTGTACATCTGAAACTAATATAACATGTCAATTATACTTCAATAAAAAAATCTGTTATAATAAATACATGTTTCTATATCACTTCATTTGTCTTTTCTTAAGAAATAAAACCTACAGTCCCCAACTGCACTGAAAATTTCTTTTAGAAATAGAGATTTGCTTTTTTCCCGCTAACAAGTAGTAATAGTATCAGGAATATAGATTTTAACAAAAGGTATACTTTTGAACCTACCTGTTTTCACTTTACTCATTTTATTTTTATTTTTTAGTATTAACGGCAACATCCATAGTAGTGTAAAAACTTTCACAATGAAATCTGAAGCCAAGGATGGGGAAGAGGAGAGTCTACAAACTGCTTTCAAGAAATTAAGAGTGGATGCATCAGGGTAATTAAATATGTAATATATTATTTGGGAATTGCTTACTAGATTTAAATAGCCCTTTCCCCTGAAGAAGATCTCATTCTCTTCTAAAATTTCTCATTATTCATAAAAGATTAAAATGTTAATAGTGTGGCATTCTACCAAATTGTGCACAGCATTATTTTACTTATAAAAGAAACTCTTAATGTTAAATTTTGAAAAGTAACTCATTTGTACTCCCAAGTTGGGTGTTTTGGTATCCCTTAGTTTTGAGGAGGGTTCCCCACCTCCCTCTTGAATCAGAATTATCAAGCAGTGTCCCATCAGGAATTTCCTCATGCATCTCTAGGGAATCACTGTGTTTTTTTCCCTAAAAGTGAATTGGCTCCATAGAAATCCACAGACATTCTCGATTTCATATGCTCTGATTGCTGAGTCTATCACTATGGAAACCTCTATTCATTAGGGTTCTGTCACTGAGATCAATAATCTTGGACCCTTTAGCCAAACTAATTAGAGCACCTGCAGACCAGCTGCTGTCTGCATGTTAATATTTCGCCCTTTGCAAAATGTTCTGTGCAGGACTCTTTTCATCCCCATTCTTCACCCCAGGACAGAAGAAATCTCAAATCTTTGACAGATACAGGAATATTTCTTTTCATGAATGGAAAATAAACCCTAGAAGCTCAGAGTAGAACACTTCACAACAAGTAATAATCACTGAGATTTATTACTCACTTTCTATGCCCTAGACACTGGCTTAAGTATCTATACACATTATTTAATTCTCACTACCAACTTAGAAGATAGATACTATAGTTATTCCGGTTTACAGATGAGTTAAATCACTTGCTAAAGGTCACATTGGTGAGAAGTGGTAGAGTAAGGATTTGAGCCCAATTTGCCTCCAGAACCTGTGCTCTTAACCATTCCTTTATATGATACCTTGAAGACAACATGAAGAGTTGCACACAGTACTTGGCACATAGTAAAAATTAAATAGTAGTTGTTATAGCTGTTTGTTTATAGCTAGTACTTTTTTTTTTGGTCTACCAGGTGAGAAGATTTATACTAATGGGTTTGCACAGAAACTGTTAATAGTGCTCCCATTTGCTTCCATGATACTACAAATAAATATCTTCTCCTTGCAGTGGCTTTTCTCATATGGTCATATTTGCCATTTAAATTGATCAGTAATTTTTAAGTCATTTTGGGAAATAAAAACAAAGCAGAGAAATAGATAGTTCCAGATTATGGTCACATTCCTTTGTGATTTCTGGTATAGAAATAATTTTTTTAGTCAGGAAAATGCTAGGAATGTGTATACACATACACACACATATACATATAAATCCCTTAATGTATATAAATTCATATGAGTAACTCTTCATACACAGATTTCTTTCCTGGTGTTTTAAGAAGTTGGAACATAAAATTAAGCTATTTCCATACCGCTAAAAATACCTGGAACATTAAAAACAACAACACCTTTGAAGATTTAATATCTGACCATACAAGCTATGGTCAGTTATTGCATCTTTATAGTCTGTGATCTGCTTGGAGTAAAATTGTAGAAAGGGAAGGAGCAGTGGAGAACATTTGAGAAAACTGAGTAAGAGTAGAGGGGGTGAGTCATTACCATGACTAAGCAGAATAAGACTTGTGTAATGTATCATATGGTTCTAGTTGTTTCATATTGTTGCTGATTTACAAATGGGACATCTGAGGTACTGACTCATAAACTAACCAAGCCTTGCCAGGAATTTAGCGTGATCCTGTTCAACAGGTTTCCATTCCCAATGGTATTTGTCTTATCAGGATAAATCTCTATTTATTTATTAGAAAACAACATAATCCTTTTTATCTGATTATAAGATAATACATGCTTATTATAGAAAAATTCACAGAAACAAAAAGGAAGTAAAAATCTCAATTTACCATGCCTGCTATTAACAATCTAGACCATCTATACTTAACACCATACAGTTTTTTGACATAGTTGAGATCATAATATATGTATAGTTGTTTATCTCATTCTGTTTCTCTTAATGTTAAGTTATAAGCATTCTCTTGTGTCATTCAAGTTCTTTGTACACTTAATTTGTAATAAAGTCCTAATATTCCATTGAATAGATGTGTCATTAATATAATGTAGTGTTTTCTATTTTCTACTGGACATTTAGGTTATTCCTGTTACTTTTTATTTTAAATTAATTTCAGTGAGCATCCTTTTACTTAGTAGATTAATGTTTCTTTCTAAAGGATTGTTACTAATACCACAGCATGTATAGTAGGAGCCCAGTGTGTGTGTATATGTATATATTGAAAAGATCTGGAGGGATTTATACCAAAATGTTAATGTTGTAAATCTCTGGGTTGTGAGATTATAGACGTTCATTTTTTCTCTCAAATTTTTTCGTCTTCTTTCCTGGGAAACCTGTATTACTTCTGGAATTTTAAATTGCAAAGATTTAACTTCCAGTAGTATTTCAAGTTTATTAGTTGTCAGAAATACTCATTTTCAAGTTAGAATGAGTCTCCTGAAGTTTTTGCTCCTCAACTTAGTTCTCATGGCTCTGATTTGCCCACATAAAATAAGTGGTCAGTGTCATTAGGGTTCTCTGTGGACGTAAGACCTTATCTGCCCCAGATAAACAGCCTAAAAGTCTATTTATATCCTGCTGCTGGTCATACTTCAGAATTACTCTTTGGCTTATGATTCTGCAACCATGGGCTTTTAGGGATCCCCTAAATTTGGTTTTGGAGGAAAATTTAAAAGGTGAGCAATTTTTTGAGAAACTCAAATGACAGAGAAAGGTATTAATACAAATTGTGTTTGAGTTGGTGAGAGCAGTAAGTTCTCTTCCTTTCAGTTTTCTGTAAGCAGTAAACTTCGTTGTTTTCTTCAGGTCCATAGCATCTCTGTCTGTTGGAGAAGGCACAAATGTCAGAGCATCAGTCAGAACATCAGCAGATGAGACCAAACCGAAAACCTCATGTGCACCTAAAGACAGTTGGCATGGGTAAGAGCTTCTTACTGCAGATGATTTTTATCCCAATACTTTATAAATTACTACTGGACTTTCCTGAGTATCCAGAAAAGAGTATGTTAGATACAGAACCCCAAACCCAATGATTAGAGATGAGCCATTCTTTTCGATTGAGAATACGCTGAGACTTGCTATGTGGCTTGGTTCATAGACAGTTTTTATAAATGTCCTATGTGTGTTTGAGAAGACTGAGTCTTCTCTAATCATTCTTGGGTTTTTTTATGTCTCTTAAATCAAGCTTTTAAATGTATTATTTGAATCTTTTTTCAATCTATCAGTAATTGAGAGATGTATGTTGAAATCTTCCCTATGGGAGTGAATTTGTTTGTTTTCCCTTTAAGTTCCATATTTTAATTTTATGTATTTTGAAGCCATTTTGTTAGGTTTATACAGTCTAGGTTCATACCAGTTTAGACTGTTTTCTTCCTAATGAATTGATATTTTTAATGATGTAAGTGACATTCTTAATTCCTCATAATGGCTCTTGTCTTAAAGTCTGTTTTTTCCAAATTGATATAATTAATCCAGTTGTCTTTTGGTTGGTATTTGCCTGTTGTATTTTTTTTTATCTTTTATTTTCAACCATTGTGTGTTTTAAAATTTTAGATGTGTCTCATAAATATATATGGCTTATTTTGTTTTATTCATTCTGATAATTTTTTAAACTGAGTTCAGTGCATTTACATTTATTTTGATTATTGATTGATATATTTAGACTTGTTTCTAGCATTTTACTTTATGCTATTTGTCCTACTTCTTTGTGTTTGTTATTTGTTTTTTTACTCTTCCTACCTTCCCTCTTCTTCTCCCTCATTTTAAAAAATGGTTTGAAATGGGTTTGTTTGTTTTTTTTTGCCCCCCACCACTTTTCCTTCTATTGGCTTGGAAATTATATGCTGTGTTTCTATTCTTTTAGTAGTTAGCCTTGAAATTCCACTGTACTGCTTATTAACAAAGACAAAAGTTAATCCAGTGACCCTTGAACTACACGAGGGTTAGGGGTGCTAACCTCTGTGCAGGTCAAAAATCCATATATAACTTTTGACTTCCCCAGACTTTACTACTAGTAGCCCACTGTTGACCAGAAGCCTTACAGATACCATAAATAGTCAATTAACACATATTTTATATGTTTTATGTATTATATAGTGTATTCTTACAATAAGATAGAAAAAACATTAAGAAAATTGGGAAGAAAAATTACATTTGTAAGTACTGTAGAAAATCCACGCATGTAAGCGGGCCCTTCAAACCCTTCTTGTTCAAGCATCAGCGGTATTTTAACCCTCCGTACAATCTTTTTACTTAGACCTCCTGACTTCCATGTGTAGTTGCCCAATATTTTAGTTTTCTCGCTCATTATTTAAATAAACAGTGTTTGTCTATCTCATTTACAATTTCTTTGCTCACCATTCTTGCATCTCAGACCTTCCATATACGATGCATCGCCTTTCTTTCTTCCTGAAGTACTTTCTTCAGAAATTCCTTTAGCAAAGGTCTGTTGTTAGTAAATAGGGTCTCTTGTAGAACTCCCCATAGAATGAATTTGAATGATGCCCCCTCCTTGTATAACATCATGTTCTATTGTAAATATACTTTGATTTATCTGAAAATGTCTTTGTTTCATCCTTGTTCTTGAAAGATACACCTGATTTAATATGCCTGAGGTCCTGGTTCTAGATTGAGTTATTTTCTCATAGCTCTGGAAGATACTCATTGTCTTCTGGCTTCATTATTGATGTTGAAAAGTCTACCCTTACTGTTCTTCTTTTTGGGAATAATCTGTCTAGTCTCTGGCTGTTTTTAAGATGTTCCGGTTTTGGAGAATCTGCAGTTTTGCTACAGTGGGTCTAGATGTGGATTGCTCTTTATTTGTCCTGTTTCAGGGTGCTGCCTCTATCTGTAGATCTCTTTCATCAATTCAGAAAATTTATCAGCCCTTATCTCTTCAAAAATCACTTGTCCTCCATGCTCTATATTCTTTCCTTGGGAAACTCCAGATTTCTTATTCTATTTTACATATTTTTTTAACTTTTACATTTTTCCAAGTTTCCTCCAAGTCTCTGTACTCACCTTTTAGGTCAGGGGGAGGCAAACTTTTTTGTAAAGGGCCAGATGGTAAATATTTTAGGCTTTGGAGGCCAAGAGGTGAGATTCAAGGATATTATGTAGGTATGTATATAGGCGAGAAAATTCCTGCCCTGCCCCATTTGCCTGATGCATGCCATTCTGGCCGGTGGACACATTTTGTGTTCAGTTGCTTGGTTTCGGGATGAAATGATTAGCCAGGTGGAGGGGGGGGTGGGTGGCAGTACTGGAGTCAGTTTTACCCTGTGCCCCAATGGCACCCAGATGCCAGCGTGCCCTTCTTTCCTCCAGAGAGCCCTGCACAAGCCAGACTCTTGAACTGAGATTCCACCCCTCAGGTGCTGGCAGTTGCTGACAGCAGAGCCCCAGCCTGTGGATGGGACCAGCGTGGGACCACTGCAGTGGTGTGACACATCTGCTGGCCAGGAAGGCAGGCACAGGGAGGCTCACAGTGCTAGCCCCCAGGAGCAGTCCCTGTGGGCTGTATGAAAACAGCCAGTTTGGACCCACAGACTGCAACTGGCTGAACTGTGTTACAGATAATTCAGATTTATCTTCCAGTTCAGGATTTCTTTCCTTAGCTCTATTCTGCTGCTTGGCCCAGCCATTTAATTTAATGTCAAATACAGTTGTTGTTGTTGTTTTTAAAGTTCTTTTTATTTCTGTTTTCAGTTTTGCTTGGCAGTTTTGAGTCTCTCTCTCTTTTTCTTATTTCCTTTGCTCAGCTCTTTTATTTATTTAAATGTTTTATTAAAAGTTATGTAGAGCGTCTGTAATTCCCAATATCCATAAAAACTTGAGGGAGTCTGAATTTATTTGTCAGCTGTTACTAGTGGTAGAAATGAATCTTAAGCCTGCTGCTCTGTGTGGCAATCATGACATCATGACATAGTGGCCATTGGCATCATTAGCCACAAACAGTGGTATGGAAGCTGCTATGTTCGGAGCACAGAGCACAACAGTTGGGCTTTACAGCATCAAGTGGTTTGGGGCGGGCACGTTCTGCACCCAATGTTTGGCCCAAGAAATGCAATTAGAACCTCCCCTTTACCTCTCCTGTTTCTATAGCTTGTTAATAAGGAGATGTTGAAGTTTTTGAGATGCAGACTTAGGCAGCTTGAAAACAGAGGTAGGCACATCTCTTTGGGGGAAACTTAGGACCTCAGACTCAAGAGGAGAGGAAGTAAATTTCCAGCTATCACAAAGAATCTGCTTAGGACAGCTGTGTGTCCCAACATCTTTTTGTGCACTGTTTTCCTCTTAGGTCTACAAGGAAGTCTTCACGAGGAGCAGTAAGAACCCAGCGTCGTCGACGTTCTAAGTCTCCTGTCCTTCATCCTCCAAAGTTTATACATTGCAGTACAATAGCTTCTTCTTCCAGCAGCCAGCTCAAGCACAAAAGCCAGACTGACTCCCCTGATAGCAGCAGTGGGCTGGGAATTTCCACCCCTAAAGAGTTCACTGCAGGAGAATGCTCTACTTCTCTCGATACTAATCACACAGGGGCAGTCGTTGAGCCTTTGAGAACTTCGGTTCCCAGGCTCCCATCAGAGAGTAAGAAGGAAGACTCCTCTGATGCTACCCAAGTCTCCCAAGCAAGTCTCAAGGCCAATGATCTCTCTGACTTTCGATCCGTTTCCAGGCTAAACCAGGGCAAGCCATGTGCATGCATAGGCAAGGAGTGCCAGTGTAAGAGATGGCATGATATGGAAGTGTATTCCTTTTCAGGCCTGCAGAGTGTCCCTCCCTTGGCCCCAGAACGAAGATCCATGCTTGAGGACTACTCTCAGTCGCTCCACACCAGAACTCTGTCTGGCTCCCCCCGCTCCTGTTCTGAGCAAGCTCGAGTCTATGTGGATGATGTGACCATTGAGGACCTGTCAGGCTACATGGAATATTACTTGTATATTCCCAAGAAAATGTCCCACATGGCAGAAATGATGTACACCTGATAGCAAGAAGCTAAGTAATATGCTTTAAACCAATGAAGGGTTGTCAGAGAGATTTAGTTAATGGCAGACCTTGCGGCCACGTTATGTGAGAAGACATCTCCTTCTGCTCACTGTGCTTGCAATAAAAACTTTTCTTGGCATCTCCGTTCATCTTCGTTCTTTAAACTCACTCTCTGCGTTCTTACATACGCACCAAAGCAAGCAGATCAAAGGAAAATAAATCCCTCTTCTTTAGAAAAAGTTTCTGGGAGTTGAAGAAACCATAACTACTTGACTGGGAGCGATGGGTATATGGTAAAAGGCTTTGTAAAGCAGGGCATTTTTCAGATCTGTTTAAGATTTGTTGGCCCGGGAAAATGAAACGTTTTGTAACTGGACTGAACATTCGTCATGCTGCAGTTGCCAGCCCAGAATCTTAGAAGTTCTATGACTGCTTTGAAGCGTCTCTGATTTAACACAAGCTTATTGTGTCTTTCAGGGTTCCTTATGTTATTGTTAAGCCAGAAATCGAAGGTTTAGATTCAGTGTGAATAAACTAGCTGGCCTGCCCTATATTGTTTGAAAGAATCATCAACCATCACCAAACAAACCCCTGCTGGCACTTGGTGTGTGAAGTTTCTCGGGTCAGAAGCAGCGAGGAGCGGGCTGCTTTGGTTGGAAGGAGGGGGTGTAATATTTGAAACCAGCGTGCGTCTTCTCCATCTGTGGCATTTTAACACACGTGGCATGTTTCAGTCCGTTGTGATGTAGATCTCATGCCCCAGTTTCAAATGTTCTGGATGGATAGTATCTCTGCACTGCCCTCCCGCCCCAGCCAACCCAACACAGAATTTTATACATGCTGTATCTTGCATTTCTGGTTGGCCATCCAAAAATTCCCTCCAAAGTGTGGTGGAGGAAAAAAAAAATCTCTCCTCTGTTTCAGCTGGAGGACAAATCCCGGTCTTTTTCAGGTGGCTCCAGAGTGAGTTTTACACAGACCACGTAACGTATTTCAATTCAGACCATCATCCTAAGTGTTCCCATCAAATTCAGTGAAAACTTGTCCCACCGTGTTAATGTCATGTTAACAGAAAGTTTAACTTTTATTTAGATGACAAAATAAGCTTTAATTCTCTACTAAAACATCCCACTTACTGGAGTTGGTTCATGACAGTGGGGTCTGGGCTTCCCACGTAATGTGATTTGTACTTGGGAGAGGTGGGAAGGGTATTCCCGGGAAAAGCCCTGAACATAAGTAGTGGGAGATCTCTGCTAGTTACTAGTGTAGTGTGGATTTAGTGACATCTGCGGGTTGTGGTTTGAGCAAGGGGGCACAACACCTTGCCATCACAACACTGGAAGTGGAGAGATTTCTTTTTTTTTTTTGTAAAGATTTTATTTATTTGACAGAAATAGCGAGAGCAGGAACACAAGCAGGGGGAGTGGGACAGGGAGAAGCAGGCTTCCCGCCGAGCAGGGAGCCTGATGCGGGGCTTGATCCCAGGACCCTGGGATCATGACCTGAGCCGAAAGCAGACGCTTAACGACTGAGCCACCCAGGTGCCCCAGCGGAGAGATTTCTTAATAATGCTACCAGAAGGAATGCTATTGCATATACCTAAGGCAACAGTTGTGAAACCTTTTGGTCTCAACTCATTTACAAATTAAGGATGCCAAAGCTTTTGTTTTTGTGGATTATACTTACAAATATTTGCCATATTAGAAATTAAAACAAAATTTTAAAATGTGTATTACTTGATTTAAAAATTATTTTATTACATGTTAACATTTTTAATTGAAAAATTAACAAAATATTTTAGTGAAAAGAGTGGCGTTTTACAGTTTTGCAAATTTCTTTAATGTTTGCCTTAATAGAAGACAACTAGTTCTCATACCTGCTTCTGCATTCAACCTCTTGTGAACATTGTGTGTCGTGTGACCTCTAGAAAATTCTGTACACTTGTGGGGGAATGAGCATGAAAAAGGCAGTTAATACGTTAATATCACAAAAGTCGCTTTGACCTCACAGATACCCTGAAAGCGTAGATCCCAGACCACACTTTAAGAACCACTGAGTAGGCCATTAGAATTTCTACTGTAAAGGCACCTACCACCCACCCCCTCATCTCCACAACTAGTGTCTTGCTTCACCTTTTGTACTGGCGAGAGTGGAGCAATTCGGGCTTAGTGTGGTACTTGAATGAAGATGGTTCCTCAGTCTTTTAAGTCCTTTTTTACTTTTAAGTCCTGTAGTCTGGTTATTTACTTAAATCTGTATGCTAACAGAACAGTCATCAGAGAATGAAGTAAGATGCGCCTTCCTTTCAAACAAAAGTTGTCATGAGCAGGGGTGTCGGGACAAAGTTCCAATGGCTGAGTACCCTGTTGAAGAAATCCAAACTTGGGTGGAAGCTAAGCATTCCAGATCCATGGGAATAAGTTTTAAGTATTTACATCTCAGTCAAAATCTCAAAACATGAATCTTGAAGCTAAAAGTTACTCTGCTCAGACCCAGTTGGGCCAACTTTAATATGAATGTCCCTCACTGGAACATTTGACCTTTTGTGAGTGCAATTTATCTTTCTTGAATGCACCCTGGGTGATGGATTCAGATTATGGATTGAGAAATTTTACTCTGATGTTTTGAAAAGTAGCATCCTGACATGTGCCTTTATTAACTATTCATAGAACATTCATTCATCCATTTATTCAGCAAATACACCTGGAGTGCCCGCAACCATACTAGGTGCTGGGAATAGAACAGCAAGCAGAATGACATCCTTGTACTCAATGGAAAGAGGAGGATTCCAATATCGTAAGGGCTGGGGCTGGGGACAGGGTGGTTCTTTTATTTGGGTGGTCAGAGAAGCTTCTGTGATGAGGTCGGTGACATTTGAGCTGAGACCCAGCAAAGATGTCAATGCAGCTTGAAGCAGGCGAGGCCACGGAAGCGTGGGGCAGGGGGCAGATCATGGAGGGCCTTGCAGGCCATTTTAAGGGCTGTGATTCCTGACTAAGGTAAGGGGCCATTTGGGGGGGGTTGGAGGAGAGGCGAGGCCTATCAGACTGGCCTTTACCAAGGGCACTGGCTGTTCTGTGTGGACTGAGGGGAGCAGGAGAAGGGGAGGCAAGGAGGCGGTTGGGAGGTCACTGCAGTAAATCGGGCAATGGGCTTTGGTGGCTTGGACGCTTGGCAGTGCAGAGGAAAAGATGTATTCTGGAACTAGTTTAGAGGTACAGCTGAGGGGATTTGCTGATGGATTGGATACAGGGTGTGAGAGAAAAACTGCAATTAAGGACTCCACATCAGAAGCTGAAGCTGGCTGGAGGAGCACATACGGGAGGAGAGCTGGGAGTCTGGTTTTGCTCTTAACCAAGTGTGAGGTGCTTCTGAGACCCCCTGTGGCGACGTTGGTGGTGGACCTATATGGAAGATCAGTGGGGAGGTACAGGCTGGAGGCACAAATGTAGGAGCCGTAAGGATATGGGTGTTACTTAAAGCTCAGACTGGAGGAGACCACCTAGGACGTGAATGTAGGTAAAGACCCAGACAGAGGACCAAGCTCTGAGACATTCCCACGGTCGAGAGGTCAGTGGAATGAAGAGGAACCAGCCAAAGCCCTAGGCAGGAGCAGCCCGTGAGGCGGGCGCAGAATCAAGAGAACAGTCCTATCGGTCAAGTGAAAAAGCGTTTAATTAAGAAGGGACTTGAAAGCTGCCAAATGGTGCAGAGAAGGAAAGGTGAGCACCCACAATGTGCAGGCACTGGGCATACAAGCGTGAGCCGGAGCACCAGGCACTTAGTATGCGTTCATGCTTTTTATTTGGAATGACGATAATCCTTGCTTCAAACAACACACAGTTGGAGAAAGAGCCCACATGTGCAAAGGCACCTAACCCAGCCAGGAAAACTTGTCTGGGGAGGCGGGGCTTCTTCAGCTGAGTCCTCAGTGGCTGAGAAGTACTCAAGTGGGTTTCTGTGTGCAGGCCTTCTCTCTGTTCTGGATTTTTTGGGTCCCTCCCCTCTAGGCTCCCTAGGAAGCGATCCACACCTGAGAAATGAGAAACAAACGGAGCAAATGACTACCCTTTCTGATCAAAGAACAGAACGACAGACGAAGAAAAGACCTGGGAAAAAGCAAGAATGGGATAGCTCTTTAAAAAGTGGTTTCGGGGCGCCTGGGTGGCTCAGTTGGTTAAGCGACTGCCTTCAGCTCAGGTCATGATCCCAGGGTCCTGGGATCGAGCCCCACATCGGGCTCCCTGCTCTGCGGGAAGCCTGCTTCTCCCTCTCCCACTCCCCCTGCTTGTGTTCCCTCTCTCGCTGTGTCTCTCTCTGTCAAATAAATAAATAAAATCTTTAAAAAAATAAAATAAAATAAAAAGTGGTTTCGAATTCATTCCAAGTTTAGTAAATTCCTCTCTCTTCGGGGAACTGGGTTTTCCTAAGGAAAAGTTGCTGTGACGCGCAGATGGCCTCCAGAGGCCTCCCTTTCCCTGGAATGCATTGGTTTAACAGAGGCAAAAGCCTCTCTCGAAAAGTTCAGCACTGGTCACCTAAGGCCAGTACCAAATTTGGCAAAAAATTTAAACTTTTAAGAAATCAAAATGTCCCTTCACCAATAACATATAGTTTATCAGCTTAAAAAGTGAAAAACCACAGGGCAATGTTGAGTCAACATGTATTGTGAAGAGTAAGGAGTATTTCGGTGTCAAGATACTTAGTATTTAGGGGGTGATTCTGACTTACCTCTTTGGTGACTATCTTATTAAGCATTCTAGTTTGAAGAGCAACTTATCATGTGAGCATAATATTAATAATAGCTAATATTTATTAGGTGTTTAGTGTGTCCTAAGCCTTTTTACGGTATGAAGTTACCCAACCATATAAAGAAGATACTGTTATCCTGAATACTAATAATCCTTTGAGGTAGGTACTTTTACAGTTGAAGAATTTGTGGCTTAGGGAAATTAACAGTTGGTCCAGGGTCACCCCTTGGTGACCACCCCTGTGGTCTAACTCCACAGCTACCCTACCCTACCCAGCCTGTGCTACACCTTCATGAATCCATGGACCATAGGCTGGGTAGCGTAGGTAGCCGTGGAGCTGTGTCTCTCTCTGTCAAATAAATAAATAAAATCTTAAAAAAAAAAAAAAGTTTCTTAATTTGAAAACATACAGTGGTTCTTAACCAGGAATGAGTCAGATTCGTCTGAGGAGCTTTTAAAAAGAATACAACTGCCCAAGCCTTTTCCGGGTACAATCTATTCATTGGTTTGGGGTGGGGGGAGCTCTGGAATCTGGAATCTTTTTATGTGTTGAAGTTCAACAGGTGTTGAACTTAAGTCTTATGTGTACCCACCCTTGGTAGGGAACCACCATAGGGAGCTGCACGGATGCACAGTGGCTAAATTTATCAGGTGGAAAAGCTCAGAAGGACACAACCGCCATCCCGCCTTAGGACAGGATTATGGTGATTCGTCCAGCATTTAACTACAAAGCCTATTGAACTTGGGCAATTGAAACTCCTCTAACTTCCACGTGGAGATGTTGCTTTCCTCTCCTCTTCGGAGCAGAGCTGGAAAGAAACACGTGATTCTCCAGAGACCTCGGTGAGAAGTGGCAAAAGCAGAGCTCTCTGGGGTAGGCAGCAAGGCAATCTTAGAAGTGAATTTGTATAAGCAGTTCAGTCCGTCCACCTGGCCGGATGGTGAGTCCAAACCTAGACGATGCAGTGTTTATCCGGGGCTACTTGCTGCCTGTCCCCTCGGCGAACAGCCAGCGATAGTGAGCTCAGTGAGCTCAGAGGCTGCGTGTTTCTGCCTGGGGGTGAAACGTGGACCCAGAAGGGGCTCTTTAACAGCGAAGGAACCAGGAAGGACTAGGAGTCTGCTGGATGAAGGGAGAGAACATTTTCTGTCCATTTCTGAAACAAGAACAAATCTTCTGCGGTGACTTCAAGGAGCCTGAGTCATCGTGGGATTTGGAGTATGTCAGATTAAGTTTGAAGTCAGATAATAGTCCAATAGTTCTCAAGTGCCTTCTGCGCTTGCTTTTTTAGTGATTTCTATCCTTCCCCTCCTCCGTATCTCTCCATCTCCGCTCTCCACCCCCCACAGCAGCTTCCTGTTCTTGATGGCTCCTACCTTTCCCAGAATTACTCTATGCTCCTGTTAACCCTGGGCTCAGTTGAGATTTCCAGTCATTAGTCCTGGCCACAGCTTCATGTCATAGAGATTTATTTTTCCCTTTCCCTGAAGTTTGGTGGGAACCTGAGTGCTGGGAATCCACCCAGGCCCTTCACTCCTGACCCTGCCCCCAAAGCTTTCTGAAGTCTGGCCTCACAGGCTCTGAAGACACCAGAGAAAAAGAAAACTTGGAAAGGGGATATTTTTTTTAAAAATCACGGTCCTCGAGTATTGCGGAGACAACCTCATTCCAAATAACCAGCAACCCTGTGTCTCAGAGATAAAGAAGGACAGGCTCCTCGCCCCTCAGAGGAGAGAGCCAGGGAGCGTTCAGTGCCTTCTGCAGGCTCTTTCCAGGGTTTTCCCGGGGGTGTGGAGAGGGATTGGGGGTTGTGCATGAGCGCTGGACTCGGTTTTCTCTATCTTCCAGACTCTGTTTTCAGAACCTCACTTCTCTTCCTGAGTTCCCTCCTCTGCTTTCAAAAGCGTATGTGAAACCATGCCCATTCCTTTCTCTTTAGGTCACCAGATTCCTTTACGGGACTGGCAGCGGGTATAGCCCCAGGTCCTGTTAGGGCATGTGAGTGGTGGTGGGGCTGAGATTTGCCAACCTCTACACTCTGGGGGATTTTAAGTGTTCCAGGACTAGCTGTTCTGCTAGTCCTCCTTTTCCCTCCCCTCCCTGACCCTTCTGCCCTTTCCCCTCCTGCAGACTCAGGGGACCCCGAAGGTGGAAGGGAGCTCCTACCCAGGGGGAAGAAAACCCATCCAATTGCCCTAGCTGCCTACACTTAGTTCTCAGCTGCCCTTCCTCGCCCCTCCAGCTACTCCCTGGGTCTGAAGCACTAGCCCAGTTTGAAACACCCCTCCCGCTTTGAAGGAGGCTGGGCTAGCCAGGGGGTTATTTTGGGAGCAGCTTCTGAGATCCAATGGCCTTGTTAGGGCAACAATGACCTTTCCATCCCAGGAGGAGGGCAGGATCCAGAGGGGCGGGGCAGCGGCAGGGAGATCGACAGCCCCGCACACCCACTGGGTGGAGAAGGGGGCCAGCCGGCTGCAGGAATTCAGCCTCAGGCTGGGGGCTGTCACCAAGGGAGAATTTACTCTCTTCGAAACAGACTGGGGACCCCTCCACCCCACCCCTTTCACTGTGCTTCTTAAAGGGATCACACCGTTTTTCCTTTGACTCCAGGGAAGCCAGACTTGGGACACTCTATGGAGACTTTGAATCTTTCCCTCCTGCTTCCTTCCCAACTGGCAGCCTTCCTCTGGCTGGTTGAGTGGGGGCCTCCCAGGCATGGCACTGACCAGCCGACCCAGTGCTGACTTGGCTCCTGGGCTCATTCAGCCTCTGGTGGCATCTTGCTTTCTCCCTCCTGGGGCACAGTGGTGAGTCAGGGGCGCCCAGCCCTGAGTGTGCTTGGAGCGTGTCGCTGGCACCCCCCATCGCCCTCTCTCCCCCAAGCTGGAGGACGGTGAGGCTGTCAGGGGCTACGATGAGATGAGTGGGGGCCGCTTTGACTTTGATGATGGCGGGGCATACTGTGGGGGCTGGGAGGGGGGAAAGGCCCACGGACATGGACTGTGCACGGGCCCCAAGGGCCAGGGCGAATACTCGGGCTCCTGGAACTTTGGCTTCGAAGTGGCGGGCGTCTACACCTGGCCCAGTGGGAACACCTTCGAGGGATACTGGAGCCAGGGCAAACGGCATGGGCTGGGCATAGAGACCAAGGGGCGCTGGCTCTACAAGGGCGAGTGGACGCACGGCTTCAAGGGACGCTACGGAACTCGGCAGAGTGGCAGCAGTGGGGCCAAGTATGAAGGCACTTGGAACAATGGCCTGCAGGACGGCTATGGCACCGAGACCTATGCAGATGGAGGTGAGCCCAGCCTGGGGCCGGCAGAGCTAGTAGGAGCCAGACCAGTGGGGAAGACTGGTGGAGGGTGGGGAGAGGGAGGGGCAAGGTGACACAGAATCAGAAAAGCCAGGATGCTCTTTGCTGTGTGGCGTTGGGCAAGCTGCCTACCTCTCTCAGCATCCATTTCCTCGTTAGTAAAGGTGGGGCTAATAACAGGGCCATTGAGCAGTGTTCAGGACAAGACCTGCTGTAACACACTCAACACACATTCAGTAAAACCTAACTACTACTGTTTGCATGCTAGGATGACAAACAGCCATGGAATATACCCTGGCTTGTGCTTTAGAAGAATTTGGTTCTAATCTCAACTTTGCCATGAAAATTATTTTCAAGCAATAGATCATGAAGTATTTATTCATTCACCCATCCATCCATCCACCCACTCATCCATCCACCCACCCACCCATCCATCCATCCATCCACCCATCTATCCACCCACCCACCCATCCATCCATCCACCCACTCATCCATCCATCCACCCATCTATCCATTCACCCACCCATCTACTCATCCATCCATCCATCCATCCATCCATCCATCCATCCATCCATCCATCCATTGTTTTGTTTAGAGCATATTTCTGTGGTACCTCCTATTTGCCAGGTATTATAAAAAGAGTTAGATTTGAAGAGGAATAAGATACAGCCCAAGGCTTCAAAGATAGACTCGTAGACAAACAATCATACACAAGTAGGTACAGAGTGCTGGGGCAGAGAAGTTAGATTTGAGGAGGTCAGGGAGTGCTTTAGAACAGGTAACATCTGAGCTGGATCTTGTTGGGAAAATTGCTTTAGAGAGGGTGTGAGTGGGGAGAGAAATGAGTAAGAAGCTCAAAAGCATGAGCGTGCCCAGGGGGTTAAGGAGATGAAGAGGAATTTTCTGTGGCAAAACAGCTGTGGGAAGTGGCAGAAAAGATATCATCACCTCATCCACTGAGCATGACTTTGCATATATCACTTAGTTGGGCCTCAGTTTCCTCATCCACAAAATGGGCTTTAGAATGTCAGGTGCTGCTCAAAATACCGTCACTAGACAGGCAGTATCAACATCATCTGTCCATCAGTTAAAAAAGCAAACTCAGGGGCCCCACCTAGACCTGAATCTGAATCAGAATCTCTAAGGGTAGGCCCAGCCATTTGTTTTAACAAGCTCCCCTGGAAAATTTTATATACATTAACGTTTAAGAAGCATTGCTTTAAATCAGGCACTTGCAAACTATAGCTTAGCCGGCCAAACCGGCCTGATGCCTGTTTTCATACAGCTTATAAGCTGGAAGTGGTTTTACATTTTGAAATATTTGGAAAAAATCAAAAGTAGAACTCTACTTTTTGACATGTGGAAATTATATGGAAGTCCCTGCATAATATCCTTTTGGCCCACAAAGCCTATAATATTTACTATTCATCTATTTACAGGAACGTTGGCTGGCTCTGCTTTAAATGGTCATTCAGTTTCCTTCCAGCTCAGGATGCTTCTCTGAAGTCTCCTTAACATGCCCCACTGGGAAGAGGAGCTGACACAGATAACTCAAAAACTATAGCTGCTTTAAAGAAAATATTTTGGCGTCTGTCTGAAGGCATTCATAGTGTGTCTGCCGCTCGTCTCCCCTCTTTAGGACAGAGGGCAGGAAGCGGGCAGGCTGGGAGTGGGTTTGTGCTGGAGCAGGAAGGAAGGAGCATGAACCAGCCCACAGGGGACGTTATGCTCAAGCTGAGGCCTGTGGGCCTATCCAGAGGGGCCTCAGGTACAGCATGGGCTCCCAACTGGGCTGTCCGCTGGGGGGTGTCTGGCGAGGGCCTACCCTCAAATGTGTCTAGATGTGGGTGAGGTTGTGTCCCCGGAGTTTCTGTGGGCACAGTGGAAGCGACACAGCCCTGGCTGGAATCGGACAGCGCTGAGGACAAATTCTGGCTCCACACTTCCTAATTCGGTGACCTTCAGCCGTTTGCTGAACCTCTACAGTTCGGTGCAACTCAATTCCCTGGATGTTTATGCTGGACACTGCGCTGAGCACTGGGGACAAGTAGGGAGCAGGCCCCAGTTTCTCTGGCTAGAACACAGAGATGATCCTTGAGTGCTTTGGGGTGCCAATTACCTATGCAAAGTGGTACCAAAGTAGGCCAAATGTTCCTTCCTTCCCTCTTTCCTCTCTCCAAACCAAGGTGTGTGTTGGGGGCCTGGGTGTGAGTCATAGAGACACATTTCTGAGAAACTATGGACTGATTTCCCAATATGTCTTAAAGGGGGGAAACCTATTCATTCACTCATTCATTCATTCACGCAACCAATATTATGGAGCACCAACTATGTGTGAGGCACCATCCGACAGCAAGTTCCAGGAGCCAGGGCAGTGAGCAAGCAAAGGTACGAAAAAAATAGAGAAGGAAGAGGATGACTTTTTGGATAGTGTGGTCTGGGAAGCAGGATGGGAGGCCTCCGGAGAGGGTAACACCTTCCAGGCGGGGAGGGAATGGCAGTTGCAAAGGCCCTGAGGCAGACCTGGACTTGGCATGCTTGAGGAACAGCAGGACCGCCAGGGTGGCAGGAATGGAGTGGATGAAGGGAACAGGCAGGGGCTGATGTTGGAGCTGTGGGTGTGAGCCAGATCACGTAGGCTTTGCAGAGCCCTGGGTTTGACTCTGGGTGTGCATGGGAGGTCTTCAGGCCAGGTTAACTGGAAGACTTGCTCCTCTGGTTTGTCAGAGGCCCAGACTCTTCTTCCAAATGAGACAGTCCCACATCCAGGGGCCCTGGAAATCTCACAGATCTCTCCCAAGCCACACACGAGGTACAACTCTCCAAAATTAGATGTGGCCACTGCTTCGGAAAATCTCTTTAATCAACCTGTCATCAGTCCCCTGAGGGTTTGTTAAGGACCTGCCCTTTGCCCCATCCTGAGTAGTGCTGAAGAGAATGTAGACAAATAAGATCCTGTGATTAGAAACGGCTGGGAGTCGGGCAGCCTTGGGTTATTACCTTGGCCTATCCTATTATTTCATATCGTGGAGCCTTAGTTTCCTCACCAATAAAATGGACTTATGCTAATCTCTCCTAAGATTTCTCATGGGAAAAATGGGTACTCAATAAACAGTAGTTGCTATAATTACTATTAACTCTCACGAATTCGCTCAATAAATATGTACTGAGTGATTATTATGAAGCAAGCAGTATAGTGCTGGGAGGGAGGAGTGTAGAAATGAACAGAATGGAAAGGGTCCCTACCTTCCATTGAATCTACAAGAAATCATACTATAGGGTGTCGGGTGCTACGCAGGAAAGTACTGGGGACTAAGGGATGAAGAGGCGGGCAACTAACCAGACTAAGGCAATCAGGGAGGCTTCTTGGAGTAAGCGGCAAGCTGGGCTCTGAAGTACGGAGTGAGGCAGGTGACAAGGGTGGAGGATGAGTGTTCCAGGTTGAGAGAACAGAGTGCACAAAAGCCAGGAAGTCTAGCACGTGCTGCCAGCCAGGAGATAAAGCTGAAACTTGCATCTTATCACCAGTTTTAGGAAGTACTGATGAAAGGGACAATATGTCCCATTCCTCCACTCCCCACCTTACCTTGCAGCCAAAGGAAACAGCAGTTTTCCAAACCGGAGGTATTGTCCCATTAACAGGTGGTAACCTCAATTTAGTGGGTCATGACCTGCATTTTTAAAAATGAAAGAACAAGAACAGAAAAGGCAGAGTGTTTCACAGAGCATAAGAGTATTGTTTGCTCAGCTGAAGATACATGTACATACATAATGTGTGTGTGTACATGCATCGTGTGTTTATTACATGGTGTATAAATGTATTTCTTACTGCAGGTCATGGTCAAAAAAGTTTGAAAATCACTGTTCTAAAGTGACTTCATGAAGCCACTGCCACTCCTACGGAGGGGAAGGTGGTGAAGGCAAGGAGCTCCCACTCCCAAGCTCCCGAACCCTGCTGTAAGCCGCCTGGCACCCCTCCCCCGCCTATAGCCCTCTTCCTGCCCTGGCCATATATAGCCAAAGTAAAAATAGCTGCGGGCCTAAATCGCCAAAGCAAGCATACAGCCCGGCCTTAAGTAGTAATGCTCCTTTGGCTGCCTAGCTGTTCCCACCCCAGAGACCCACAGACTCCAGGCCTGGAAGGGCCACTGGTGATCTTTGCTTTCCGAGGTCCTTGACCTGGAGCCCTGGCCTTGGCGGCAGAGGCCCATCAGCGTGTAGGCAATATGTGTGCCTATGTGCATGGACTGTCTGTGTTTTTCCTCAGATAGCCATGGGATTCTCAAAGTACTCTGGTGTTAAGTTCCAGAAGCACTCAGCTAGTCAGTAATCCCTTCCCCAAAATGTGCAATGGAAAAACCAGGCCCAGGGGTGCCTGGGTGGCTCACTTGGTTAAGCGTCCGGGGCTCTTGATTTCGGCTCAGGTCATGATCTCGTGGGTGGTGAGATGGAGCCCTGCATCAGGTTCCATGCTGGGTGTGGAGCCTGCTTAAGATGCTCTCTTTGCCTCTCTCTCTGCCCACCCCTTGCTCTCTCTCTCTCAAAAGCAAACAAACAAAAAAAAACAAAACCAGGCCCAAGATGGACTTTGTTCGTAAAGCCAGTAATAATAATAATAATAATAATAATAATAATAATAATAATAGTTGATTTTTGGTGTGCTTACTATGTGCCAGGTGTTACTCTTGGCATGGAACATGTGTTATTTAAACCTTCAAAACTGGGGTGCCTGGGTGGCTCAGTCGGTTAAGCGTCTGCCTTTGGCTCAAGTCATGATCCCAGGGTCCTGGGATGGAGCCCTGTACTGTATTCTCTCTCACTGTCCTCTAACTAGTAAGAGGCAGAGATTGAATTTGATGGTAATAAGTAGTAATTAAAAAGTTCATAGTATATGGGGCACCTAGGTGGCTCAGTTGGTTAAGCATCAGACTCTTGGTTGCAGCTCAGGTCATGATGTCATGATTAGGGGATCCAGCTTCGTACTG